TTGAAGCAGGTTGTTTCAAGGTAGTAGCAACACTTTCGCGTATTTAGCTGTGACATTCCGCGGGCTGCACAGGTCTCACATACCCCGTTAGCGAAGGCCTTCGGTGATGCGTCAAAATGGAATTGTTTGCATACAACAATAGTTCCCACAATCTTCCCAGTAATTTGTGAATATGAAAAAGTCAGGATCTCTGCTCATGACTGGACACTTCAACTTGATTGCCAGTTCTGCAACTACATTGTCGGCCTCAAAGTCCACGAAGGCATATTTCATATTGAAGCGCTTCAGAACAGCCACAAATACAGCAGGAATCAGAAGGCATTTAATATCAGGACGTTCCACGCTCTCGGCAGGCAGTCCACCAAAACTGCACGATTCCTGGAAAGCCGCCACACGCTGAAGATTCTCTGAAAGTCGGCTGACGCAGGTATCGAACTTTGAAGGCTGTAAGTGTTGAAAAATGAGCCAATTATAATTAAATGAATAGTTAATAAAAGTAAAGATGACATTCAACTCAAATGTGTTTGTTCCTAAATCATATTGTTAGTATGCAGTTAACTCGGAGAATATTAGCAAAATATAAATAGTTGTAATCCCATGATTGCGAGAGTTATACACTCTTGATTTTGGCTGGCAGCCAGATTACAGTGACATTACTGAGTTCATCCTGGTGGTTCGTTACGGAGGCACGTGGTCCAGGCTACCACAGCACTCGCTACCGAGCCAAGTCTCGTTGAATCGCTAAGGTGTGCACATACAAATTTAGCATTGTAGTTTCTTCGAAAACGAAAACCTTTGCCGCTGCGGTTAAAACCACTTCAGTGATTACCGTCTTTTGTACAACAAAAATCTCGTTGACTTTCATTAAATCTCCATACTTTATACAAGTATATTGTTATTGATGAATGGACGATGCACCCATTAGTTGCGGAGCACACTCGGTCGGCCGGTCTTCGGGACTATATATCTCTCCCGATCCCCCTAACAGCCGCACAGTGGCCAATGGTAAAGGCAGAATTATATTATTAAAAAAAGAAAAGGGACACTGGAGTGACCATTTCTGCTTTACTAGACGTCCTCCGCCAGCAAAAACCAACCCTAGGGGGTAGCGAATCCCGAGACTCAAACCGGCAACCTTGTCGGCTAGAAATCGAACACTAACAATTGTGCCACGGGTTGGTTGCCTTGCTGGTTTGGTAGGGGATTATTGGGTCAGTTCGAACATCTGTGCACATTTAACCTTTTAACTCAGTAAACGTCTAATTTGTAATTATTTGCATGTCAGTGTGTTGTTTGTTAGTTCGATGATGCCTGTGAT